ACCAGCGTTCATTAATCTAATACTTCAGATTGTGCTGCTCATAGGTCTTGTATAATAAAAAACTTGATGGACCCCCTGATAGGATTTGCAGAGTGTGGTCTCGGGGGTCGATGGAAAGCTGTGGGCTGCAGCAAGCATAAAATGAGACTGATAGAGAATACATTTGAGAACTCTGCCCTGGGTGATGTGGAATTGTACTAACGAGCTGCTTGGCAGCAGGAAGAGGCCAGCGAGTGTTTGGGTTCCGAGGCGTGTGGTTTGGCAGAGCCTGGCTTAGCAAGGGTCTAGTGCAGAGACACATGTTATGGGCCATCTTTGTGTTTGTTTGCTGGCTTTGTTGGGAGTTGAAACTCAAACCTCTTCCCTGTGGTTAGATCCTCCCAGTCAAGCAAGTTTGAGCAGAGGGAAGTTGGTTAAGGAAGAGAAAGGATGCCGGACACGGCATCAAGTGAGAGTGGCCAATGTTGCCACAAAGGCTTCCTGGCCTCTGGTGGCAAACCCCTCATCCCTCAGTGCTCTCCTCACTCCTTCAGCCCCTTTTTCAGTGCACTTATTTTCTAAGCCAACGTTGCAAACTTTATTGCTACTGCTTATTATTGAAATCGTGCCAGAGGTGTGCACAGAGCTTCATGAACACTGTGGAGGGAAAGGTCCTCACTTGGAGGAGGTTTTTTGGTATCATTTTGATGGTTGTAATAGAAGTAATTAAGGCTGAGTGGGGACAGGCAGCACTGTAGGCTGCTGTCAGCACAGCAAGGCAAAAGGACCAGCTTTGAGCGTGGTCCTCGTGCCATCTTTCAGCTGGGACTGAGGATGCTGCTCTTTAGCAAGGTGGGTGATAGGAGAGGCATCGTCTCTGCCACGTCAGGTGAAGCCATTGCCTCCTCAGACACAGCTCTTCTGGCAGTGGGGAGGTCACAGGGCTTCACAAAGGGAAGGGAAAAACAATCAAGGACTTGTGCCACCCGGTAACGCACTGACCCAATTGTGCACTGCTGTGTAAGGGGAGAGAAATTCCTTCCTGACCCTTGTACTCATCAGCCCATGCCCTGAAGCATGAGATTTGATTTTCTTTATCTGGCTTTCCATAATTGCAGATGTCGTGTTTGGTCCTCCCCGTGTCCCACCCCTCGGGAAGTGGCATCTGCTGCATTTAACTCAATGGACCTTCTCCTCTGGGAGTTTGATCCTGACTCTTTTCAGGGAAGTGCTGGAGGGAGGGAAGGAGAACTGGTCCCTTCAACCTCCCTTCTTTTGATGAGAAAACACTTGAGGGTGCTCAGGGAGCATCGTGGTATTGGAGGGAGCCCCATGGTACGTGAGCTGGAGGTGCTGCTCGTGCTCTGTTGATAACCTCTCCATGAGCATGGCTGGGGCTGCGTGGGCAGCAGTTTTGGGCATGGCTTGGGTGGCTTTCACTGCCTGTGCTGGGGTCAGAGCAGGAGCTGACTGGGAGATGCAGCCAAGGGGTGTTTCCTCTCCTTGGCACTGCTTTCTCCAGGGCTTTGTTGGCCCTGAAGAAGAGCAGAGCATGCTGGCATGGGGTCTGCTGGCTGGGAGGGATGGTTTGGCCAGGAGGGTCTGCGTGACCCCCCAGGATGGTGGGTGGGCACGTGGCTGCCTTGCTTTGCTGGCCCTGTGGAGCATACCACTCGGCTACAGGGCCATCTGCCTTTCTGCCCCAGCCTTTTTGGGTTGAGAAAGGAGCAAGAGGGTGCTGCAAACCCCAGCACAGCTCCAATGACCTGCACTGAGCTGCTGCCTCCTCCTCAGCTCAGCCCAACCTGCTCCTCTGGGAATTCCATTTGCCAGCGGGGAGGGCGTTGGCAGAGCCTGTCCTGAAAGAGTTAAAAGCTCTCCCCCTTTCCAGCCTGGGGAAGTGGAATTAGTCACAGCCTTCAGGAGAAGTGCTGGCCAGGTTATAAAAATGACAAAGGAGCACAAATCAATAATGAAGTTAGTGTTTTCTGGGAATGCCAGACACGAAGGGAAAAGTCCATCAACACGGTGGTGGGTGCCGTGGTGCATCGGCTGGGGGGGCCCCTGCACCTCCTGTTGCATCGGCTGGGCTGCCCTGTGCACATCCCTTGCTGGGGCACCTTTCTCCTCCCCATCGTGTTTGATTCTCTCCTGGCACCGTGGGAAACTGGGATGGCACCTCCCTTGGATTTTTGGAGCAGAGCTTGAGTGACGCTGGCTGCTGCTGGCTGCTCATTCATCAGGAGGCACCAAGGAGGTGCCTCTGGGGTGTCAGAGATCGGGGCTTGCAAAGGGTGCCCCGGGGAAGTCCAGTGCCTGATTAATCTGCAGGACACAGAGTAGTGTCTCCACAGCACTGAGGTAGCATTGGAGGCCACGTTTCCTTTTCCAAAGGGACTTGGGCATGTCTGGAAAGGAAACGACCTTCTAATTAGATGGCTTGAAAATCTTTACCGTCGCTCGTTACAAATACATTCATCAGCCCCTATTGAAAGAACTGCACTGCAAAAATGACATTATTATTATTATTTATTGTTTAGATATGAATGAGTTTAAACCCTTTCTAGCCTGGCCCGTGTACAGAAAGTGACCCAACGTCCCAGTGCTGCTTCTTGGCCCCAGTGTCACCTGGTTTCTGTGCAGCCATAAATCTGATCGGGATGTCTTGGGGATTTTCAGCAGGGCTTTGAAATAGGCAGCTTTAAAATGTGGAAGAGAGGGAGGAAAACCAGCACAGGGATGGAACTGGGAGGGGGTGGGAGTGAAGGGGCTGAGACCTGGCAGAGGTAGGATGTGGTGGAAGGGGGCTGGGGAGCTGGGTGCCAGCGGGCAGTGGCTTAGGAAGAGCCGTGTTGGCACGATGGTTTGGGGCTGGTGGCTTTCCTGGCATCTCAGCCCATTTTTATAATTAATAGAAACTTCCTTAATTGTCCTTCCAAATGTCCTGGATTCCAGCTGACCTCTGGGTGCGTGGGCTGGGGGTCCTGCTCTCTCCTTTGGGATGTGGTTTGGAGGCAGTGCTCAGTGCCCAGAGCTTGGTCACCAGCCTGGTCCTATCCCCGCACTGTCCCAGCTCCCTCCCGGCCACGGATGCCACCCAGAGCCTGAAGGGTGGGTGTGAAAACACAGATACTGCTCCACCACGGGTCTCCCCTGCCTGTGGTGGGCTGGGTGATGCCTGCAGGTTGTGGGAGCAGGGGAGGACCCGTTCCTGCTGTGTCTCAGGGGCACCAGGGCTGCAGGCAGGTTTTTCCCTGCTGTTGGTGTTTGCTTGGCCAGTTTGCCACCTTTGCAAATTCAGGTGCTGCTCTCATCTTCAGAAACCTCCTTAGGTGTGTCAGCTGCTTGCTGTCATGACAGGTAACCAGAGCTTGAGAAGAGTGGGCTTGCAGAGAGCAAGAGGCTGGTGGAAGCTGAGGGTGATGGATACCTGGGATGAGCTCCTTGGGGAGAATCATGTTCCTTTGAGGAAATCAGTCATCTGGGCTGCTTATGCTGCTCGTTGTCAAGGGGTTGTCTGCATCACCACTTCCCAACTGGAAGTAATAGGTCAGTGTAGGCAATCTTGTTCTTCCTCCTCCCCTCTCAGTTGACTTTATGGTCTCACATGCTTCAGGCCAGCTCTTCACAATGCTGTGGGACAGTGAATCCAGAGCACAATCCACAGCATCACAGAGTGTTAGGGGTTGGAAGGGACCTCTGGAGATCATCGATTCCACCCCCTGTCAGAGCAGGACCATCTAGTCTAGGACAGGTCACACAGGAACACATCCAGATGGGTCTTAAAAGTCTCCAAGGAAGGAGACTCCAAACTAGACCCAGAGCAGAAGCTCCAAACACCCCAAGAACTCAACAAGCTTAAACCCCCAGCAAACCAGCCCCAAGTGAAGGTTTCCCAGCCCCTCTGCCATCAGCCGAGGTTGCCCTTAAGGCGCGTGGTGCCCCCTTTGGATGTGATGGACCTCGGGGGCACGATGGTTGTGATCCCCCTGCTCCCATGGGAGCTCTCAGGGCTCTGCCTGGGGCATGTCTCAGCGTGCTATGGCACGTCCGTGTGGCAGATGCCAGCAGTGCCAGGCTCTTGCCATGCCCACGGCTCCATGGCTGCCGGAGCCGTGTGGGTGCGGGGCAATCTCCATGCCTTGGGTCTGTGCCAGCCCCGAGAGCTCTGCCCCACGTCCCCGGGCATGCGCTGGCACGGATCCAACCCCCACACTGATGAGATGGCTTCAAACAGGAGTTAATCTTTTACCAGGTGAATTCCTGCCCCCTTCAGACACGCTGCCCTGCGCTCCGTCGTCGCGCTCTCGCCCCAACCTGCTGCACCAAATGTTTTGCAACAAAACCCCCAAACCAACCACATGAAAGGAGTCGGGTTTCGCGTTTCGTTCTAACCCCAATTTCAGGTTTGCCAAGAGTTTCAGTCGTTTTGTGAACCTTTCCCATGAACCTTCAGCAAAGGCTGTCGTTCAGCCCGGTTTTGGTGAAAGCCCAGGTGTGACTCGGTCGCTTCGGAGCAACTTTTGGAGGTTTGTGCAAATGCCAAATTCAAAGGCTTTCGAGAGGAAGGAAGAAAAGAAGCCAAAAGCACCTCAGAGCTGGTGACAGTTTGCAGGGAGCCGTGCACGTGTCTGTGGCCAGGCTCTACTTCCTCGGGCACCCAGGCACACATTTTGCTGGGCTGGCAGGTCGGGTGAGACTCTTGGTGGTGCTTTGAGCCCTCTCGGCAGCATCACCACCAGCTCAGCCCTCGTGGCTGGGCAAGGGCTGGTGCTCTGAGCATTGCAGCTCCCAGGGCTGAGCCATGGTCCCCGTGGCAGCATCTCCTGGTGCCTGCCACCACCGAGGCCACTTTGCTGTGGTGGTGGCTGAGCCTGGGCTTGGCTCTCTTGCTTTAGGAATAACTCCAAAAGTCAGCGGTGTGCGAGAAAGCTCCCGAGCCAAAAAATAAACAGTGGGCACCACACAGGGTGGGGCTGGGGCTCCTCCTGAGCCACGCCCGGGGCCCCCCCGAGTCCTGCCCCTGGGTGCTCTGTGTTGCTGTCTCCACACAGGGCTTGCTTTTTCGGCAGCGCCGTCTTTCCTTTCTCCAGCAATTTCCTGAAATAACGTTAGGGAAATGTGAAAATCTTGAACTTTTGAACCTCCCCGGAGGACGGCGTGCGGGGGGATGGCGGCAGGAGGAGGGGACGCCCGCCTTCTGCCTGCCGTTTATTTTGGCTAGGGGACCCTGGGAT